AGCAGGGACTTCTAGTCTGGTGCGTTCCCTCCCCGGGTCCGCGGGCCCCGGCGGCCCTGGGCCTTGGTTGCAGGGAGAGCCGCTTTGTCTTTGGGAATCTCGTGCTGAGACTCTTAAACGTGCTGCGTGAACCTCTCCTGACAGCGCGGGTCAGCATTTTGTTGCTTAGAAGGCGTGTTCTTTTGTTCACATCTGCATTAGTACCGTCTCCCATGAGGCTGCCGTTTAGGTGTCAGCTGACACAGCTGGACCGAGGGCCTGGGTTCCTTCCAGGCTGTTGGCCAGAGGCCGCCCTCAGTTCCTTGCCCTGTGGGCCTCTGCAGCGTGGCAGCTCGCTTCACCAAATTCAGGGAGACAGACTCAGAATCTCGTATAATCCAACCATGGGACACCCTCAGCGTTGAGGCATTCTTTTGGTTAGAAGCCAGTTCCCCAAGGGGTGGGGATCACGCAGGCCGTGAAGACCAGGGGTGGTGCGGTGGGGCTGCCTTAGACGCTGCCTGCCACAGACGCTTCTGCCTCCGGCCTCCTCAGCTGACAGGTGAGTCTTCCCCAGCTCCAGGACACCCCGATGGCCGACTCCTCTGCCCGACTGAGTCAACACCACCTGGCCTGTCCGTTAGTCTCCGACTCCCAGCATGCACCCTGTCCAGTCGTGTGTTCATGTCTCCTGTCTCTCTGCTTCGTTGATGATTTTGTCTTCGCAGGAGTACCTTACTCCTGAGTTCTGTGTAGCCTTCACGCCCTCTCGAGTTCTGAGTCCTCATTAAACCTTTCTCTGGTTGCTCCAGCTGGATGAGTTCTGCTTTTCTGAAATCTGTTTAAAATTACATTATTGTTTTACCCTGGCCTTGCTACTCGCTAGCTGGTTTTTTTATCGTACTATTATTTAATCTCTCTGTGCCTTGGTTTCCTCCTTGTAAAATGGGGATATTAGTGTATACATCATGTGCCTGTGATGATCTAACTAGGATGTGACCATGCAGTGGCTGATAACCAGTTCTGTTGGTTTTACCACCCCACTTATGTGTTTCCTTTTGTTGAGTGCATTCGCCTCTGCAGCCAGGCAGTGAGTGGGCCAGAGCTGAGAGGCCGTCTGACCCTCGTCTGCCTCCCTGTCCCTGGTAGCACTCAGCAGGAACCCAGGGCCACTCAGTAAATACTTGTTGATGGTTGCATGGTTGGTTGCTGGTTGGTTGATGGATTAATTAATTAACTAACTTATTGTTTCAGAAATCTGGAATCATCCACCAGCTAGAGTTCAGAATACCTTTACACACTGCGGGTTTTGGAAGCAGACAGTGCTTTGTTTTGCCAAGTTAACCTCTCAGGGAGTCCTGATGGACTTAGACGGAGATATTACTGCAGAGAGCTTGGTGACAGTGTCATTCTGTCAAGGATCCAGCTTGGGTTGCTTTGCTCAAGGTTACAGATTATCTCTTTTTGGGATGGTTTTATGGTGTCTTCCCACACCAGCCTTTTGGAGAATTCACTCCGTTGAACTTACATTACCGGTTTCCTAAAGCTATGACCTTATGTTTTATCTTTCTGAAGAGTTTGATAATGAATCAATTTGTTTGATAGAAAATTAATTAGAACACTGAATGTTGATTAGTTAGAAAATATATTCAGCCTTTTTATATTCCCGCTTGTTGATCTTATATACATATATTTTAGCGTTTTGGTGTGATCAATGAATAATCATTAGCTTGATAAGTAAGTCTTCAGAAAACTGAAATAGCACCTTGAAAATTGTGTTTGACTAATGTTCTTCCTAATGAGGATACTACAAAAATATTTCTTAGCTCACGTTGTCTATGTGGAGGTTAAAACATTGACCCTAAGGATGAGTTGGAGAAGTTAAAGCCAGAAGGGAGCTCTCCCGTGTCTGAGGTACTGTGCATTCTAGAAGCGTTTTCAGTGGTTGAGAGGGTGTTGCCACTCACCCTCCTCTTTAGGTAACTCTGTCCTGTCCCTGCTATGGGAAGGATCTGCTTTGACCTCCTCCCAAGTGGGCTGTTACTGACCTCTTTCCTGTGGCTGAGGGTTTGGGTCCCACGTCTTGAGGACCCCCCACCATTTCCTTCTCTTCCGTGGCTTGTGGTGGCTCCGGTGTGATGGCCTGCACGCTCTGCGCGTCCCCTCTGGGCTGCACGTAGGGACCAGGCCCCCCTCTGTGGTCGCCGGAGCTCAGCTTCTCCGTGATGACCCAGGCGAAGCTTCCCCAGCCATGCACCCTGCACCTAGAGTGAATTTCCTCTGCTGCAAAGACAGGAAAGAAAGAGAAGCTGTAAAACCCGACGTGCGTGGTTCCTGAGGGTGTGCTCAGACCCCAGGGTTCTCACGTTCTGTGGTCCTCCCTGCTGCAGGCTTGGGCTGTGGCCTGCTCTGCCAGTGCTGCAGGGACGGGGGGCACACAGGCCCTGCCTCGCCGGGCAGCCTCCTCCCCGTTCCCGCAGTCGCTCTGTGCTTCCTGACGTCCTGCCTGGCCTCTGGCCCTGGCCTGCGCTTCTGCCCACGCTGCCGCCCGGTGTCTTCCCCGGCAGGGCGCTGCTGTGTGTCCTGTCCCCGCAGTGCCGCCGAGGCCTCCCTGCAGACGTGTGGGCTGGCGGTCACGGCCACAGCCCCCTTTCCCGCTGAACCCCGCTGTCCTTAGCCCGGGGAGCTCTGCTGCCCTCAGACGCGGCTTTCTCATTGTTCTGGTTTCTGCCTCTGCCCTCGGCCACGCTGCCTGCCATTTGTGCCTTCTGCATCCCAGGCCCCCCAGGCCTGTCTCGATGACAGCTGCTCCTAGAGCCTCCCTGTCCTCAGGCGGTATGAATGTGATCCCCTTGAGTCCCCAGATGCTGGGCCTGCGCTTTCCTCCCACCCCGTGTTCTAGTAATCGTTCCTATTTCATCCTCTCTGTCGCTGCCATGCCTAGCATCATGTCCCCCACGAGTAGGAACGTGGTCCAGATTTCTTGCGTGGGACAGAAATTGCCCTTTCACTGTGTGGAGAGAGGATTAGTGAGTCGCGCTTGATCTGTGTAGCGGCAGACAGACATTTGCACTGGAATTTTGTAAAACAAAAGCTCCAGCTTTTCCAAGGAGACCTGCTCTGACTCCTCACCACATCGTTGGGTTGTGGGGAGTGGGCAGTGGGCTGGGCCCAGCAGGGCTCCCATGAGCCTGGAAGGCGCATGGTGGCAGCATCAACATCGACTGCCGGCCGCGCCCAGTCTTGGGCCGCCGGTGTGCGTGTTTCCTTGGAGATGGCCGTCGTTGTCCCAGCTTCCTGCACAGGCGCTGCCATCCTCTGCCCAGTGCCCCTGCACAGACACACACGCCGCTCATCTCGTGAACCTCAGGCCTTTCAGCCCCCGTGGGAGGGACACGTGAGGCAGGAGTTGAGCGAGGCCATGATGTGCTGGGACTGGAGACTCATCGTCCACATAATATGCTAAATCAAGAAAGCAGGAAAATTGATTTTTTGGAGAAAGATTTTCTGGGACAAGTTGAGAGAAGAGGTGAAATGCTTCTCCTGCTGGGCCGTCAGCGTGCCCTCGGTCCGTGACCTCTTACTGCAGTGTTACTAGAATAAAAGGGATTCATGCTGAAAAATCATTTTTTAAAAATGTCACCACTGTCATATTTTTCACCTGGGCAAGTCTCTCTGGAGAAGAAAGGGGATGTTTTCCCCTGAGTTTCCAGTCAAATTCCTTTATGCTGACCGCTCGCTCCATGGGGCCGCCCCAGGCCTGTCCATCTTGGGTCTGGGCGCTCGTACTGCACCTGTGCTGCAGGGGCCCCCATAAAGCACGGAGATGGGGCCGCAGGACCCAGGACGGTCAAAAGGGACGCTTACTGCCCCTAGCACCTCCTTTAACCCTCCCTCGGGCCTCTCTCCAGAGCTGCGGCGGCATGCCTCCAGGTCCCTTCTCCAGGGCTCCTAAGAAAGAGGCTGGTGTTGAAGTGATGGTGAGCTCATGTGCGCTTTGGGATCCAGGGGGGACGTGTGGCAGAGAGAGCCACAGACACAGGCCCGTGGTGCTTTCCCTGCCTCGAGGAGTCACCTTGTGGATAGATATCAGACCAGAAATGGAGATGACAATGTAGCCAGTATGATATGCCTTTGTGCGTAGAGTCCCAGGCGGGCAGCTGGGTGGGGCAGGAGGTGAATAAGGCCAGGAGGGAGCTCGTCTCCCAGGCACATAGCTGGGGGCCCCTCTGACTCTCAGGAGGTGGAGATTTGCACCCCAAGAGACAGTCCCCGTGGGTGTCTCGAGGTCTTCTCATTACCTGTGAGGTTAATTCGCCTCTGTGTAACGGATTTAGAGATCCTCAGGAGCGAGGGGGGATGCGTACTGAGAACAATGTCTGATCAGGTTGCACCTGTTTGTCCCTCTGTCGTCTGGAATCGCTGTGTCTCTGTCTTCGGGAGAAGCCAGGTGTTTGCATTATGTCACCCTGTTGTCTTCAAGTTCGAGCTGATTATCTCTAATCACACACTTGCAAGTCCCGTTTCATAGAGGTCTATCAGTGTGCTTTCTGGGGGCCAGCCCTGTGGCGTAGTGGTTAAATTCAGCGCGCTCTGTTTCGGCGGCCCAGGTTTGCGGGTTCATATTCCACGCGCGGACCTACACCACTCGTCAGCCATGCTGTGGCAGCGTCTGACCTACAAAATTAAGGAAGATGGGCACAGATGTTAGCTCTGGGCTAGTCTTCTTCAAGCAAAAACAAAAAAAAAAGAGAAAGATTGGCAACAGTTGTTAGCTCAGGGCGAGTCTTCCTCAGCAAAAAAAAAAAAAATGCTTTCTGGTTTTTGCTGTGCTCAGTTTTACCATTTTTTCCAAATGAGGTTCAAACATTCTTGCATTTTAAGGGAAGGAACCAAAGGCAGAGCTTCCTAATAATTTTCGATAATATCCTGTGAGTATAGGATATCCTCTTAAATTCTCTGAAAAGAGTTCAAATTACTTTTCTTTTATTCTTCCTTTGAAAACATCACCAAATTCACAGCTGGCCAGTTCAGCGTCGCTGGAAGGGAAGGGCCAGCTGAAGTTCACCTCAGGACGCTGGAGCCCGCATCACAACTGCACCCAGGTGGCCACAGCAAACGACACGGCCGTCCGAGGGTGGGACACACGGAGCATGAGGTCAGTGACCGCCATGAACCCATGGACTCGCCCTGGGAGCCTCCCCTCTCTGTCCCCTCTTCATCCCCGAGTCAGAGGTGTCGGGGGCATGTGGCTTGTCTCTCTTGCTCTCATGTTTGTGGGAAATCATAGCCTCGTTCTGTTTCTCCACCCCAACTTGAGCTGGCACATCCATTGTCGTGGGACCGTCATTCCTTGGTCAGTTGTTTAATGTTCCACGTGGATGTCCCTTCACGGTGGCGTTTTATAATGAGAATGAAGATGGGGCTTTTGCAACCCCTCACGAATGGGCCGGCGGCCGCCGGCTCTCGGTCTCCGTGGTTAGCGCCCACAAGCTGAGAGTTACAGTCCCCTGGTTAAGTTACAGAGTTGTCTGTGACCCTTTCTGTGCCTTTAAGATACACACCTATTGGATAATCATAGTTTGTCATTTAAGTCATTATACGCAACAGCCAGCAGTTCTAATGGAACAAATAAGAGCAATTTTTCTCTTCCAGGTGTGGTTTTGATAGGCAGAAGAATGATGGTGTGCACATCTGTTGTCATGGCAACAGGAGCCCGTGCAACCTTTTTTAAGATACAGTTTATCCCCTCAGCACACCATAATTTATCACTAAGCTGCAAAGACGGATATCACAAAATAACTGTGTTGCCTTCAAGGGTAGGGACACAACTTTAAATTTGGTTCCGTGGCCCCTCTGAAAACTCTAGGCTAATAAATAATCAGTCACCACTTCTAGCATGTGTGTATCTGCACCAAGGACTTGTGTGGTTTCACAGTCAGAAGCTGAAAGCCGTGGACGCAGACCACGAGGAACATCTGGAGCACATCTCTCCAGGTCCTGTCGCCGTCTGTTCCTCTGTTTTCATTGTTCTTTAAAGGATGTGAAGAATTTCAGTATCTAAAGAAGAAACTCAAAGACTGGCATTAGGGACCCTAACAGCGATAACAGACGTGGCTTTGGGGGTGACGTCCTGTAGTCACCTTTGTGCCCGGTCGTCTCTTTGGGATGGTGGGCAGCGCAGGGGCGCCATGGCTCCTCTCGTCGACTGTTGCTGCTGTTTCTGCAAACAGCTGTGGTTGTTATTTAGACACGGTGCTCTTGGTGTTTCTTCTAGATCATATACTTTTGTATTACAATTGCTGCCACCGGAGCATGGAGTGACCCCTGGTAAATACTCCGTGCATATGTGACTGCCCACCCAGTTCCTTAGGACTCTGCCAGATTTAAAATTTTATATGTTTTCCTGTTTCACTTGGAAGATCTTAAGGTTTGGGGTATCTTATTTTAGGAAAAAATATTAGGGTATTGGAAAGCTGCAGGATATAAAAACCAGTTGATGATTTATAAATGGTTTAGGGCTGGAAAATCCAACACAAGGGAAAAAGATGAAGAGGACTGAGCTTGGAGAGGAGAGAAACATGAAGGCAGTACGTGGTGATGGTCTTCAGAATCGAGAAGAGATTAAGTGATTGTGGGAGAGAGAAGTTACACCCGAGGGAGGCAATGGAGAGGGTGGTATGGACAGAGACGTCACAGGAGTGGACGGTGGGCCTGGCAGAGTGGGCCCTGCCCCATCCTGACTGGTGCAGGCCTTCCATTTCTGGCCACAGTCCAGCCTCACTGGAGGACCTGCCGCTCTGTTTTGGGTTTGTGACGTCAGAAGGAGCCGATATCATAGACGGAATGGTCTGATTTCAGACCCTGTAGGAGCAGCGGGAGTCAGGGCTTCAGTTAGGTGTGTGTGTGTGCGTGCAGATGCAGATGTGTGCACATGTGTGTGCATGTGCTCGTGCATTTGTGCTTATGCGTTTGTGTGTGTGTGTGTGTGTGCACATGTACCTTAAACAGCCGTGTGACTGATTCCACTCCTCGCCTGCGTCCCGGTGTGTGGATCGGGGGGTTGCACTGGAGCATGGTGAAGGCGCCCCCAGTGTTGGCATCCGCGGTGGTGTGAATGGATAAAGGACAAGCCTGGCCGTGATGAACACTGTCTCCGTCATTGTTTTGGTAGCTTTTCCAACAGCATTGTATTCTACCTTCCCCCCGTCCGTTTTTCTTTTCTCTTCTCACTGCATCCTGCCAGGAATTTGTCAGGTGTCCTTTCCAAAAGTCTGTCTCCGCCTCTCCATGGCAGTCACTGTCCCTCTGGCTCGCTCTCATTCTTGAGATTCCAAGTCACATTTTTTGACAACCACAAACCAGCATCACTTGCACAGCTTGCCGAGGACCACAGATGCGCTCCTGGAGAAACCGCAGCCTGTGTCACCGCTGCGAGAGGTGCCGCGGTGGGGCACCAGGCTCCCTGGCGTCCGCAGCCCCTTCTGGTGTCTGAGCCCGGCCTTCTCGAGTGGGGGAGCCCCAGGCTGGATGCCGTCAGGGGACTAGCTGTCCGCCAGGGCCGGGCGTTAGATGGGGTCTGAGAAACGTACGAGTCTGCAGAGTCAGCAGCTTTTCATAACCCACTGCGTCTTATGTACGCTCTTCTCTCTTTCTCCCACAGCCAGATATACTGCATAGAGAACGCCCACGGACAGCTGGTGCGGGACCTCGACTTCAACCCCAACAAGCAGTACTACTTAGCTAGCTGTGGGGATGACTGCAAGGTGAAGTTCTGGGACACTCGGAATGTCACTGAGCCTGTGAAGACCCTGGAGGAGCATTCCCACTGGTAGCGACTTCTTTGTGTGCTGCCTTAGGGAAGAGGGGATTATGTAATTTATTTTGCTAATTACTCTACCATTTGGAAAGGCACAAACCAGCTTAGTTTGTGCTGCTGTGAATCATTCAATCAACCCAGTTTTATTTTTCCTAAAGAAACACTAATTCCAAATCTGAATGTTTGTGATTTCATAAACGTAGGAAAAGAAGAAAAACATTAGATTCTGTTTTCTCTTGAAATAGTGCCGGTTCAAATATGCAAAAATAAACGTGCACAGATGTTCACGAGGCATTGTTTGCAATGCAGGGAGGCTGGAAACCGCCCAAGTGCCCATCAATAGGGGATTGGTTAAGTCAATCCAGTGACATCCATGCACTGGGGATGGTGCCGCTGTCGAAGAGTGTGAGGAATGGCCTGTGTACAGATATGGAGAGTGCCCAAGATCGGTCATTCTCCTCAGAATGTTATCTGAATGTTTACCATATGCTGGGTACTTTTTGCTAAGTAAGTGAAAGAGGTCAAGTCATAGAATAGTGTGCATAGTATGAGCCAGTTTTTATTCAAATGAAGTGTGTGTGCTTTTGTGTGTGTGCGTGTGTATGCTTGTGTGTGCATATTTCTGTGTGCATGGTTGTGTGCGTGCTTGTGTGCATGCGTGTGAATGCTTGTATGTCTGTAAGTGTGTGCCTTTGTGTGCATGTGTGTGCTTGCATGCGTGTGTGTGTGTGTGCCTGCAGAGGAAACGTCTAGAAGGGGAAGAGCCAAGCTGCTATTGGAAGTCCTCGCTCAGGCCGAGGGGGCACATCGTAGACCTTCTGTGGTCCATGTCTCTGAATTCTTTGCATTACTTAGCAGAAGCCATATTGTTTCTGCAATCAGGAAGTTTAAAAAACCCACAATGCTAGTGTACGGTTTGACAAATTCAGTAAGTTGCTGTAATGACTGCAGTCTGAGGAGAAACTCACGTCCTCCCGGCCTCTGCCTGCGGGCTGTGAGGCTCTCCACTGCCCCTTGGGCCCGCAGACCCGTGCATGGCGGGTGGCTCAGCTCTCTGAGCTCGCTGGCGTGTGTGTGTCAGAGGAAAGCTGGGCCCAGCGCCCCAAGCCCAGAGATCCACTCCTGGACCCCGTGGCAGCTGTTCACGAGAAGTTGCCTGGGGTTTGGCTTCCTGTTGCAGGTTACCTCTAACCCTTCTTTTGCTTCTGGGCCATTTTTATTTTTAGGACTTTAGAGAGCCAGTCTGGAATACTGAGCAGTAAGCCTTCCTCTCCCTCTGAGGTCTGTGCTGCCTTTTGGTCCGTCTGTTTGTTGGGATTTAAGAGCAGGCTTTAGAGAAGCATGCGGTGAGCCTGCCCTTCTGCTGGGAACGGCCTCACCTGAGGACGTGCGGCTTGGGATTGTTGTCTGGTGGTGATAGAATCATCTCCTTGCCTCCCAGGGTGTGGAATGTCCGCTACAACCACTCACACGACCAGCTCGTCCTCACGGGCAGCAGTGACAGCAGGGTCATCCTCTCCAACATGGTGTCCATCTCCTCCGAGCCCTTTGGCCATCTGGTGGACGACGATGACCTGAGTGACCAGGAGGAGCGCCGTCCAGAGGACAAGTAAGAGCACGCGTGGCCCTGGGTGGTGCGGGAGCTTCCTGTTCTCGCAGACTGGCTGTGCGCCCGGGGGCTCGTGTCAGACGGCGTGTGGTTAGGGCGGCACCCCCACTGCGGGCATGGAGCCGCGGTCCTGGAGGTGATTAGCACCCAGGATGCGGGACGTTGCAGTTTGGTCAGGTTAGCTAACGCCTTCTGGTGTGGTTTAAAATGTGTATCTGTTCGCCGTGTTTCCATTTGCTTATTGAACGCTGTGCATAAGATTTTAAAGACTGTTGCTAGTCTTTCAGCTGCAGCTTCAGTGATCATGAAAACCGGTATCCATCGATCCTCATAATAGTCCCTGTGAGAGAGATCATTACTGGGTCCTTCCTCGCTGTGTGGACTTGAGGTGTGCGGTTCACAGGTGTTGACTCTTGGCCCTCGCTGGCTGGTGGCAGGGCGGGGACGCAGGCCAGCCCCCTGAGCCCCAGTCCCGGGTCTGCTCCACACAAAGTGTGCTAAACCTCGATGCATGTTTTCACAGTCGCACCATCTTGGTTGTATATTTTCCAAAAACTCTTTCCTATGCCCTGTTTTCTGATCCTAATTGCATCCACTCAGGGGCCATCTCTTCAAATTGGGGCTCACACATAGGGGTCCTGGGGATTTGGGCCTCAGGCAGGTCACACTCCTGGTGAATGTAGAGCAGGGTGCTCCGTCCCGTGCCGGGGCTCCTGGCTGTGAGCCGAGCGCGGCTGTGGCTTCCCTGAGTGGGAGACGGAAGCGGGGAGAGCCCGGCGTCTTCTCTTGGCGATGTGGGTGTCAGAAGGGAAGGCCACTTGTGTCTAGAGTGGATTCACTTTCGTGTGTGGCAGCTGCGTCCTCCCTCGTGAGTGAGCCCGACTCAGATGCCCCACAGAGTCATGGCTCCTGGATCCCCAGGGAGGAGGTTCTGGAACAAACGCGTCGAGTGGAACAGTGTGAGCCCTCAAGTACAACAGGGGTTTGCATTCTGAGATTCTTTCCACCGTTCTATGTCTGAATTCTTCTCTGCCACCCGAGCTGTGCCCAGGACCACCCTGTGAGAAGACGCTGTGTTGGAGCCTCCTCCAGTGGTGATCTACTGATGCGTCTGTCTCTTGACTCAGTTGTCTTTCTGTTCCAACTAGAAACACAGTATTTAGACAGAATTGCAATGGGTCCAGTCAGCGGTCTCCCATCATGCAGCGGGTGTGGTGTTCTTTGCCGTCCTCTGCTCAGGGCCCAGTGGAGTCCGTGTCCCGTCCCTGTGGGGAGAAGGCCGATCGCCCCTCAGTTGGCGCCTGTGTGATCCACGGGCGCTGCCCCCACACGGCGGCTGCAGAGAAGCGTGAGGAAGGCAGAGCTCGTGGCAGGCAGACATGCCAGGCACCATGACATCAGCGCTCGGTGTCCCCTGATTTCCTGCAGTCCTGCTCCCGGGGCTTGTCTGTAGGTCTCACTGAACTCAGGAGACTAGACTTCCCCAAGAGGATGTGTAGGTGGTGTTGGTAACAACGCCCCAGCGGGCACGGACGGCCGCCTCCAGGAAAGGCCAGGCATGGCGATGCGTTTCCGGGTGGGTCAGAGCACAGAGCTGAGCACAGGGCAGGACGTGGACGGCGGGCGTGTCTTGGGGAGAAGCCTCGTCTCCCTGCAGAGAATCCAGGGGCACTGAGAGCGCCATGTGCACTGTGAGTAGAAATTGTCTGTGAAATGGGAGAAGTGCCTGAGGAGCCTATGCCGGGTTGAGAGTGGCCCCTGCACCTGGGCGGGTTTGGGTGTCAGCCCCCAGAGCAGAGAGTCTGAGGTGTCCCAGCAGCAGGCCCTCGATGCCCTCAATGCTCATGTTCACACGTGGGTGTCAGGCATGTGAGCGGCACCTGGTCAGGTTTCCCAGGGAAGGAAAGCTGTGACCCAAGTTTAAAGGGAGGTGACGTGGGACAGTGTTGTAAATGAGGGCACTGCAAAGCCCAGGGCTGGGACCAGCAGGCTCCTTCCCTCCCGGCTGAGGGGGTGTCCTCGCTCCAGCCAGCTCTGCACTGTCGGGCCCTGAGCGGGCTCCCCACGCCCGGCCCGGCCTCTCCACATGGTGAGGGGCTGCACGGGCCAGTCCCCCAGGTCCCTTCTGCTCAGACGTCACAGGAGCTTCTCATCATTCTTTACTCAGCCCCATGAACATCACTGTCCTCTGAACCAAGGAGGTGCCTCGTAGATCACCAGGCACCCACGGTTCCAAAGCCATCGCAAACAAAATGCTGCCAGGTGAAACATGGATTTCCATGAGCCACTTCAGAAGGCCACTCTTCATGGCGCGGGGAGGGTTTACGTGCTCCTGCCGCTGCAGGAGCGACCCCCTCGGCCCAATCTAGGCCCCTGGGATTCTTTCCATCATGCAGGTGGGGAGACTGAGGCTCGCTGTCGCCTGACCTGAGCAGGGCCTGCCTGCCTCGCTCACACATGTCTCTGGTGCCTTGCAGGAGTCAGGAGCCCCCACAGGACAGCGTCATCGCGACCTACGAGGAGCACGAGGACAGCGTGTACGCCGTGGACTGGTCCTCGGCTGACCCCTGGCTGTTCGCCTCTCTGAGTTACGACGGGAGGCTGGTCATCAACAGGGTGCCCCGGGCGCTGAAGTATCACATACTGCTCTGACCCATCCTGACTCCTCCTCTGGCAGTTTCTCGAAGTCGTGCAGCTTTCTGGAAGTAATCAGTTTTCCGAAGAGCTCCCTCTCCGGGACAACCAGCCTTGCTTCCTCTAGTGCGAGCGTTTACGAATAACGGTGGAGCTCCTGCCGACGACACAGCACACACCTGAGTCCTGTCTCCCCTCGCTCCAGATGGAAGCGTTGTCCGGGACACCGTGCTAGGGATGCGAGCCATCGTTATGTGACTTGGCGTCTGCCCGGTCACTGCTCACTTTCTCTTCTCTCCTTTAAGGATGTTGGGAGTTTCACTTTAAAAAAATCTTTCTGTTTTCGTAAATTAACTCGTCTTTCTTTTGAGATTAAACATGAAATAAATGAGCAAGGCCATGCTGCACAGGCTCCTGGCTCATTCTTCCAGGAACTCTGCCCTCGGACGGCCTTGTTGCCTGGTGTCTGTTCATTTTCTGTGTCCTGGCCCAGAAAAGGGGCCGAGGGGCTGTCCACACAGGCTCCACTCGTCCACAGCTCTCTGGAGCTGGGGTGTGTCCTGGGCTGTGTCCCGGGGCCGTGGAGTTTGGGCCGGCAAGTGGGGGAGCACTGAGCATGTTCGTGACCAGGTGTCTCCCATCAGCCTCGGGCTGTCCCTGTGTGCTGATCTATGCTGGGTCCTGCTCCTGTTATGCCGATGGCACTGGAGATGCGGCTCCTTGTCACCCGAAGTCACACTTGTGCTCCTGGGTCACCCAGCACTCTTCCTCGTGGAAATCCCGCATCGTCGTGTCATCCCACTCCTTGGTGATCCTAAAGCACCGGTCGCTCGGACTCTTGACCGTTCCCTCCTCCCGTGGGTCCGCAGGTCTGTTCTGGGTGCACCGCAGACGGTGAGTGCTGGGCTCTGACTCCCTGTGGCCTCCATCCAGCCAGGTGTCCCTGCAGGAGCCTCATCTCCACCCAAGATCCCTGGTTTCTTCTTCTGTAACAGGAGAGAAGGACTGGAGTAGCTCCCTGTCCCCAGTCTGCTCTCAGGTTTGGTTTTTCTTCCAGGTCAGGCTTCAGTCTAAGAAATGGACTGAAGCTCTCTGTTGTCTTTGGAGTGTTTGTTTGTTGTTTTCTAAGGGCATATCCTGGATTTTGTTTCTTCTTTTCAGGGGGGAGAGTTTGTGGGGCAGAGTAGGGGCCTTGGGGGAGGGGAGGACAGATGGCGGAGGGGAGGACAGGTGGGGCCGTGGGGGAGGGGAGGACAGATTGGGGAGGGGAGGACAGGTGGGGTTGTCGGGGAGGAGAGGGCAGGAGGGGCCTTGGGGCAGGGGAGAGAGGTGGGGTGTGGTTCAGGCCTTCCAGCGTTTCTGCTTCCTGGTAAGACCTGCATGTGTGAGGAACACAAAACTGCTCTGATGCAAGACCTCCCTTCAGTCTGTTGTCACGCAGGAGAAAATGTCTGTGTTTGTCTAACGAGTGTCTCTCGCATGCCTCCCGTGTGCCAGGCACTGTGCTCAGTGCCGCGGTGCCGCAGTGAATAAGGCAAGACCTGGGCTTACGTGGAGTCTGCGCTCCCGCCGCAGCCAGTGGGTTGTGTGTCTGTTCTGTCAGCACTGTGGGCTGGATGCCAGGGGGAGTACAGAGCAGGGCTGAGGAGGTGCTGAGGGGAGCGGGAGGAGGCGTGAGGCGGGGGTGCCCCGATTCCAAATGGGGGGCTTTACTTAGGAGGGATGTGGAGCAAAGACCTGTGTGGGTGAGCTGCGGGAGGGCATCTGAGCCAAGGGACAGCACGTGCAAAGGCCCTGAGGTGGAGTCTGCCTGGCCCTCCAGGAACATAGGAGGGCTCGTGGGACTGGAGTGGCCTGGGAAGATGGCAAGAGGCCCAGGCCATGGGGGCCTGAGGACCTGGCCTTATTGAACCAGATGGGGATGGAGGAGCGATGAATCTCATTTGTGGCTGTTGTTGCCTGTGGTGGGGGATCATAAATTTGGTTTCAGGCACAATGAGTTTGAGATGCCTGTGAGGCCTCCAGGTGGGGATGCCCAGTAGGCAGCTGGACCCCCGAGGGAGGGCTGAGCGATCCCGCACTCTCATCAGCGCTCTGGTGGCTGGGACACGCCAGGGGTGAACCTTCGCCAGTGTCTCAGCCGGCTTGGGCTGCTGTAGCAGAATACCACACACCGGGTGGCTCAAACCACAGACACTGATTTCTTGCACTTCTGGAGGTTGGAGGTCCAGGATCGGGGTGCCAACACGGCCAGGTCCTGGTGAGAGCCAGCTTCCTGGCTGCAGACAGCGCCTTCTTGCTGTGTCCTCTAGCTCTCTGAGGTCTCTGTGATAAGGGACTCATCCCATACCTGAGGCTCCATCCTCGTGACCTCGTCACCTCCCAAAGGCCCCTTCCTAACACCATCACCTTGGGGGTTAGTGCTCAGAAGGCATGTACCCGACCTTCAATGCTCCATGGGCACCAGGCATGCGCTGTGACCGATGCCTCTGGACCCCTGAGCCCAGCCCGGGGCCTCACGTCTGCCTACCTGCTTAGGGTGTGTCATCAGTGAAGAAGGCAGCCACTAATTGTCTTATGGCGTCAGCTCTTTCTGTGTTAAAATTGCCCCTCTTTTTCATCTGTAGAGCCCCAAGTGGATAATATTTGTTTCCATACAAAGAATTCAGCGTAGGGGTCGGCCCTGTCTGAAACCCAAGTGCCACATCATCTCTATTTCGAGGCAGACCACTGTGTGGGTTGAAGAGACTACTGCGAGTGTGTGGGAACCAACATCCACACCCTCCTGGAGTGTGGAACCTCCTTGGGCCGGGCAAGCCCGCGGCAGCGTCTTCCCTCTCAGGCTCCATGCACACCCCCGTGAGTTTTGAGGGGAAAGCTTGGGTTCGTCCTCCTTGGAGGGGGCCTGAAAACACCACGCCTGGCCCCCAGCCCCGTGCACCCCGCTTTGGAAGCAGCCATGGCTCCAGGAAAGGTGCCCCCTCCCGCTGAGCCTTCACGAGGCCCTGCCCCTGGCCAGCGCAGTGGGCCGCGCGCAGGAGAGGCTGCGAGGACCCTGGCCCAGCTGGGCCTGTGCAGCCTGCATTCGGGGGTGATGTGGGAGCCCACGGGGCCTGGACTGCATGCCCACAGCTGCCCACCCACTGCGCCTGCTTCTAGCTGCAGCCGCACGCCATGCAGGGAGAGGGCACGGCTTCACGCTGGACATGCCATCTTCAGACACCAGCCCCCACGGGTGGGTGACTTCCCAGCAGGCCAAAGGACAAGTGAGAACAATGACCCAGCAACTGTGTCAGGTGCTCCGTGACCTCGGGAGGAACCAAGGCCGCCCCCCCCCCCCATTTTTTTTAACAAGTTTTTGTGTGCATATCTGGCCTTTTTTTTTTTTTTTTAGTTTTTAGACTTTTTAAGAGTCTATTAATTAAAACGTTTAAAACAGTTTTGGGTTCACAGGAAAACTGAGCAGAGTACAGACGGTTCCCGTGTGCTCCCCCTCCCCCACAAATTTCCCCGTTTTTAACATCTCCCATTAGTGTGGTTACAGTTTGTCACAATTGGTGAGCCAATATTGATACATTATTATTAACTGAAGTCCATCATCTACACTGGGGTCACTCTGGGTGGTGTACATGCTGTGGTTTGGACAAATGGATAATGACACGTATCCGCCATTTCAGTATCACACAGAGTATTGTCACCGCCCTAGAATTCCTCTGTGCCCTTCCTGTCCACCCTCCCCACGACCTCTGACGACCACTGATCTTCTCCGTCTCCGTATTGCTCCTTTTCCAGGATGTCTTGTAGCTGGAGTCATAAGGTATGCAGCCTTTTCGTATGGGCTTCTTTCACATGCACTGATGTGCACTTAAGGTTCCTCTATGTCTTCATGGCTCGGCAGCCATTTCTCTTCAGTGCTGAATCCCGTCGTCTGCACGTACCACCATGTGTGTACGCACTCGCCTTCTGACTGCGTCTTACGTCCGGGCTCTGGCGATGATGAGGGAAGCTGCCGTGCACAGCGTGCGCACGTGTTTGTGTGGACACACGTCCTCAGCTCCTTTGGGCAAATGTCCGGTTTCTTCTGCTCTCTGTTGTTGGGCGCCCGGCAGAGCCATTGCTGCACAGGCGAGTGAACGCGTCACTGATTCTTCTCATGCTTCGCCCACACCCAGGGAGCCCCAACTCTTTCCAGACCCCGCTGGCCCTGCAGTCTGCCACTGCCTCCATCTCCGGCCCCTCTGCTCTCATTTCCCTCCGTCTTCTCTCATCTTCTCTCCTGCTCAGAGCAATCTTGCTGAAATGCACATCTGACCTTGCAACGTGCCCCCCCCCCCCCCGCCCCGTCCGTAAGCTCTGCAGCTTGTCAAGCCCCTTATCTGAGGTGGGCACTGGGGTGGGTGTAGGACAGGTGTGAGCAGGTACTGGGGTGGGGACAGGGGCATCTGCGACTTTGTCAGAAGAGGACAAAGCTCTCCCACCCAAGGGGGCTCCAGAGGGGCTCACGGGGCTGAGGCATCAGCATCAGCGATGCCACGTGTGAGCCATAGTTCTTTGCACCTCTGCAGTCCTCACGCTGGGTTGAAGGGGCCTGGGCTGAGGGGCGGGGGGGAAGCAGGTGCCCTTTCTGTGAGGTGGGTATGACTTTGAACCATTTCTCTAGCATCAGTGAGCTCTCTGCCCAGCTAACGAATCCCCCAGCTGGGCCCGGAGAGCAGCCCCCCAGCCAGGATGTCCAGGTAATGAGCTACCTCCCTTCAGCTGGCCTGGGGCCATTGTTAGCTTCCCAGGAAAGGGTCTGTGGGGGGAGGGCCATGGCTCGGGGCCACCGTCCTTCATGCACAGGCACCCACAGGTCCAGGGAGGTGTTGCCCCAAGGCGCACCTGGCCCTTCCCTTTGAGGGCAGCTTCCTTCTTTTTTTTTTTTTTAAGAAGCAATGAGAAACAGGATATTTATCATCGTCTCCCAGTAACAAAACTCAATCCTAAAGTAAAAGAACTCGTAAGAGTGTTTCCTGATCAGCAGCTGGCTTGTTTTAA